TCGAACAGCGTCTGCATGCCAAGGCAGATGCCGAGGAAGGGCCGGCCGGCGCGGATGTACGCGCGCAGCGGCTCCACCAGCTGTTTTCGCTCGAGCATCGCCATGCAAGAGCCAAACGCGCCCACTCCCGGGAAGAAGAGAATCGCGGCCGACGCGACGGCCTCTGGCTTGTCCGTCTGCTCGACATCGCAGCCGAGAGCGACGAGCGCGTTGTAGAGCGACTTCACGTTGCCGGCGCCGTAGTCGAGCAGGGTGACGCGCGTCATGGTGGAGTTGCGGTCGCCGGGCCCGACCTCGGCGTAACCTTCAAAGAAAAGAATTGAGGACGGGCCTCTGTCAGTGTGCCGCCCCGGATGTCCGTTGTATTTATTTATTTATTTAGTGTGCCGCCCCGATAGCGATAGTGAGAGACTGCCAGTGAGAAGCCGGAGGAAGGTCGCTAGTCGAGAGAGATCGCCAGTGGAATAGGGAGTCCACTGTGCTGCGAGCCTGTCGCTGTCCCTTGTCAGGAGCAGGAGGACTAGGAGAGCGCAACCAGTAGGAGGCCCGCGCCTGCCCCCGTGCCGCCGGGTGCAACTTTGTCCTATACGAGAGGGGAATCCCGGGACCCTGTCGTGTGGGTAAACCCTGCCCAGCCCCCCTATCCGTGTCGCGATGCGCTCCCCACTCCCGTGGCCCCTGTCCCTGATCGTCCTTCCAAGATCCTGTTGTTTGTGTGTCTGTTTTATTTATTTTATTTATTTAAGCGCTGGGTTGTCTGTTTTTCTTAAAACATGTGTGGTGGCGGCGTGCCGTCCTCCCATCCCTCCCTTGCGCCTTGGGTGGCACTTGGAGCACTTGGAGTGCAGTTATTTGCCGCACGCCCAGGACCGACCTCAGAAGCGCACCCAGCGGGCCGGACGATTGGGATCGGGTTACGGGCTAGAGAGCCCTAGCCCTGGGGGGTGCGCGGTCGCAGGGCCATAACACGGGTCTCCGAGGGTTGGCTCCGTGTACCAGGTTTCCCCTTAACTGCAGAACGCCCCCTCTACTCGGAGCTAGTGGACACGACACTAGCTAGTCGAGTGATACGAGAATACGTACCGCCCCCACGCGGGCCCACGCAACTACTCGACGATAATACGAGAATACGGCTTGGTGGCCGGGTTTCTTTCTTTCTTTTTATCTGTTTTCTTTCTTTCTTTACATGAGACTCGATTTTCTAATCTCCCGGTCCTCTTCTTCTTCACTCTCTCTTCTCTCTTCACACAACGACCGGGCCTCGGAGCTCGGACCCGACACCAGGGATGTGCCAGGTTCGGCATCCTTGGCTTCCTCTCTTTTTCGTTTTCGACTGTACATGTAGGAAACTTCATAAGACAGCAGCGTCAATCCATCTCTTCAATCTTGCTCATCCGTTGGATGGCGCGCTCTTGGAAGGCTTTGGCGCCGCCGAGAGCGCTCCACCGCGCAAAGCACGGGCCGCACCACAGGCCGACGAACCACGTCGCGAGGCGCTTGACGAAGCTGAGCGAGGCGTACCCGCCGAGGAGGCGGAGCAGAGCGAGACAGGCCGCCGCCAGGGCATGCGGCAGGTGGCACCAGCTGACGAGGCAGGCGCTCATGGCCACGGGCGCGCCGAGCATCATGTCGGTGAAGAGCAATGTCGCCCCCTGCGGCGAGCCGCCGCCCACGATACCCACCATGGCGCCGGAGGCGCCGCCCGACGCGACGATCAGCTTGGCCAGGTGGAGCACCGACTTGTCCATGTCCTCCATCGAGCAGACGCCGCCGTTGACGAGGCAAAAGGCGGTATTCGAGAGCGCCGCGTTGAGCGCGTTGATGGCGTGGCCGTACATCTCCTTGCGCAGGACTGCCACGTCGAGCCGCAGGCGCTCCTGCCCGTAGAAGCTCGCCAGCCAGTCCGTGTGCGCCGCGCTGCTGCCCAGCACCTCGACGAAAGAGTCCCACTGGGGCAGCGTCGGGTGGGCCGTGGCGATGCGCTCGGGCGCACGCGTTGCTCTAGCGCGCACCAGCGAGAGCGGGATGAAGCTGCTGGACGTGCCGATGAGCACGTGCGGCGGTGCGAGGTCGTCGATCTGCTGGATTATGCGCTGCTTGAGGCCCAGCTCTTCCACCACCGACTCTTGCACGTAGTCGGCCGTGGCGACGCACTCGGCGAGGCTCCGCACGCACTTGACCCTGCGCCATCCGTCGGTGTCCGAGGCCGAGGCGACGCCACGCACCAGGATCTTGCTCCACGCCGACTGGAGGAAGGAGTAGAATTTGTCCTCGCTCGCTTGCGTGCGCACGTACGCCGTGACCGAGTATCCTTTCGCCAGGTAGACGGCGGCCCACCCCGAGCCGATGGTGCCCGTACCGACGATTGCGATGCGCGATACGTCCCCGGGGTGCACGCGGCCCTGCACTCTGGGGGCGGGCGGCGGCGATCGGGTCGAGCGGCCTTTGGATCGCATGTGTGTGTTCTCTGCCCGCCCAAAAGCGACAAGGCACCCGCAGCTCGCGCGCATCTCCCTCTTAACCTCAGCGGAGCTGGGAATAGGACCGCCGCAAGCGGCGTGGCGTGCAGCGGTTGAGCATCCCTCCGGGGGCCCCTCTGCGCCGGGGAGGCGTTGTTGGAGGCTAGGACGCAGCGCCCGTCGCCTTTTTCAAACTCGGGGCCCACTCCGCTGGGCCGCCGCTGCGCTCCGACCCGAATTTGGAGAGGGCCATGAAATTTAAGGTGTTGCTGCGCAAAAGGGGCGGGGCGCGGGCGCGCGCAGCCCGCCGAGAGCTCTTTTTGGAGACCAGACCTTTCGATGGTTCATGCTTTCTATGTCTATCTATCTATCATGCTTCATGACACGACACGCGGTGGTGCCTGGTGGGAGCTGGTGGAGCTGTCAGCTGATCGATCCAAGCGGGTGGGGAGTGGGGGGCATGGCTGGGCATGCAGGTCCGCCAGTCGGCCCGGCCTCTGACGTGGTGCTGCCGCTGCATTCGCTGAAGAAGAGAGGTGCGACTTGATTGGAGGCGCTGGAGGCGATGGCGCTAGCGAAGGGAGGTTGGGCCGGGCCGTGAGGGGCTGATGGCGCTGGCCAGCGCGGGGTGTGAGATGCCGTCGTCGTCGTATACTGCTGGCCCTCGCCCTCAGTTGCCAGGGCTGTGGGCTGCAGAATTGGCGTCTGTGGCGTCTACGCAGGCTCTGCAGCGTGATGGCTGGCGGGACTGCGAGGCCGGCGGCAGCGGAAGGAGAGGCTGGGCACGAGCCAGGAACAGGCTGGCCAGGTCCGCAGGTGGCTGCGCTCGGGCGAGGCGCGCGCGCACATGGCAGGCCGAGCAGGCTCGGCATATATGGTGAACCCCCGATGTCGCGATGGCGGCGCCCGCTTTTCCGCGATCATTTCGTCCGTCCAATCGAAGGAAGCGCCGGATCGTCGGATTTTCGCTATTTGGTCGTGTGGGTGTGTATTCCGGGATTAGTCAATGGTACCGCGTCGGCCGACGCGGGCGCCTTGCTAGGGTGCCCACAGGACCCAAAAAAAGAAAGGAAAAAAGAAATGGGGCACTCCCGATCGCAGCACTTCATGTTGGATAGTCGAGATATTGAGAGTGTGACTAGGAGGGTGGGACGCTGGGGATTCTCAAAGGTATACCCTTGGAATGGCCGGATCCAGCCTTAAAAGTACGAGATCGCGCGCGCTTCGCGCACAGCACCGCCTGTTCTCCACGGCTGTGTGACGACGCGTGCCGTGTGCCAGCAGAGTTGGGCGCGCGCGGCGCGACGGCGCCCGCGAGAGGGAAGGCGCGGGTGCAGCGGCTGCCGGCGGCCGTGCCGCCCGCCAGCCGGCGCAGCAGTGGCCAGCGCAGCGGCCGCCGGCGCAGCAGCCAGAGCAGCCGGTGCGCGCCTTGCGAGGCGAGTACTGCCGCCCGGCAGCCTTGAGGCGGCCGGGCGGCAGTACTCGTTCGAACTCTGCGAGCCGTGCGCGCGCCGAGGCGCCCGCGGCGCGCGCCCGCCCGGCTGCCAGTAGGAGGCGGCGCAATATGGCCTATAGTACAGCCCTTGAGGAGGAGGAAGAGGCTGGCTGGCAGTGCTGTATGCCGCCGTGGGGCAGTTTTTGGGTGCTGTCACGGGCCCAGGGGGCTGCAGAAGGCGTCCGCAGTCAGCAGCCGGGACAACCCGCCCCCCCAGCCGAGGCCGGTCGAAGCCCACTTGACCACAGCCATGAGGAGTCCTCTTGGTGCTCCTGGCGGCCGTTGGAATGGCGAGCGCGCGCCGAGGGGGGGGGGGGGGGTCTTGCTTGCTCCACACCGAGCGCCATCGGTCCGGACCGGCGTGGTCACCGAGGGGTGGCCTGCACAAGGTCTGAGCCGCGGGCGCTCGGCGCCAAGTGCAGTGTCACGCTCGTGCTCGCGCGTGACAAACCGGGGAACCCTCGTTTCCTAGTCACTCGGTCCCCCAACGGAAGAGGCCTCGCTCCTATTGGAACACTCCAACATCAGATTTGCCTCGTGCGTCCCTTTTTGAGTCGGAAAGCTATTTTCTTTTGGGTCCTGTGGGCACCCTAGCCTTGCGGGCAGAGCCCTTAGCCACCCTTTGCCTTGCGCGGTCAAGGGCCCGCCCAAAAGCGATGCCGCAAAAAATGTATGTCTAATGGGGTCCCCCACCCAGGCCGACCCCTGTTTAGACCCAGTTTGTCGAAACAGGACTAATCTGGTTCGTGTTCAGCCGTGGTCTAATTGGTCTAAACATGGTCTAAACTGGTTCGCCGTGCACCCTCCTCCTTTCCTATCCACTCACTTCCTTCGCGTCGTAGTACTGTGCGCCCCGTGGCCCCGTCCACTTCCATCCAGCCTGTAGCCTTCTTGACCCGCGTGTGGTGGCTGGTGCTAGTAAGCAAGGGCGTAGACTGTCTACGCCCTTTAGTGCTACAGTAGCCGTCGCCCACCCCCTTGGGCGTCTGCCTCTTCCTATCTCTTTTCTCGCAGTCTCTCGCCGATTCTCGCTGCAACCTTCATGCCACCTCGCGGTCGTCCCACTCTCTTCGTTCTCTTTCTTTTCGCTTCTTCCTCTGTCGCGTCGCTCTCCTCTGTCTCGTTCTGCGACGGCGCCGCCGCCTGCCGATCCCTTGCTCTCGCTGCTTCTCTCGCCTTTCGTCGCAGCTCTGCCCTCCTCGCGGCATATTTTGGCCCCTCGAGTTTATCGAGCTCTCCTCGCGCAAGGACGAAAAAGAAAGAAAACAGACAACTCAAGGGAGGAATGGGAGGACGACTCTTCTGACACCTT